GGATGGTGTTCACCTATCATTAGAAATTGGGTACCTAAAATACATTCGTAGTCTGCGAGATTGCATTATTTGCTTGCATAATAAATACGATAAAGTATAACATGGATATTAATATGGTATGTGCATTGTGGTATATCTTAGTAACTTGTTGTGTAACTTACTACTATATGTTTGATAGTATTTAGTAGCACTTGTTAGAAATATTCTCGATGTCAGTATGGGACACATTTTTGGTACCTTTAATGGTACAGTTTTCATTATCCTGTAAAGGACAAACATGTTGGTACCTGTAATGGTACATTTGTACAGTATACTGTATTGGACATTTGAACCTGTAAGGGTCAAATGCTATGTCTGCTATTCACAAAATAACACTGAAATTACCAGTACCTGTAAGAGTACTTATATATAATTAGGCTGATCTTTCAAATATGTGTCAGAGTGCTCATAAATATACATAGCACCCTACATATGTATACATGTACTGTAGAATGCTTCATTATATTTTGTTCTTGTAAGAGAACCTATGTTAAGTACTTGTAATAATACTAAATTTATATAATAGTTATCTATACATTACAGTTTACTCTTTCATTTTAATATTAATCAGATGATAGGATATGTTTTTTGTTTGTATAAGCTGGAATTGATCTTCGTCTTCACAAAAATGTTTGTTTTAGAAATAATAATTAATGTAATAGCAAAATGACTACCATATATGAATGGCATCTAAATACTTATTATTTTACACATACTGTGGTAAGTATTTTAATTACAAATTTTTCAGACAGTATGCCACCAAAACAAAGTCGAATTGAGCCAATGATAATGAGGACCAAATCTAAAAGGCAACAACAAACTTCTGCTGAAACCTTGGATACAGTAACTCAAAACAGTAACACCCATTCAATTTCACAGCAGAGGTCTTGTGACCAATACATGTGTGCCGCCATCACATCCTAATGTCATCGAACAACCTTCCACATCGTGCACGAGTTCCACTACTGAAAATCAACACTTGTAGAGAAGTTGACAATGGAAATCCAACAAGGTTTTTGGGGGATGGGGGCTGAAAATGTTCTTTTGATAACTGTTTTCCTATGCATATTTTACTTTCGTCATATAAAATAAAATGACATTTTCACAATATTTTGTTGGTAATGTATCTAGTCTCTCACATATAAACTTCACCCCGGAAGTGGTTTTCTAGTACAGGAATGGAAGATTCAAATACAACAAAGACAAACAAATCAAAACTTCATAATTGATCAAAATTTTATACTAGAAGTAATTATCTCAGGAATGAAATAAAAATGAGCTGCATCATGACAAAACCAACATAATGGGTTTGCGACCAGCATGGATCCAGACCAGCCTGCGTATCCGCCCAGTCTGATCAGGATGCATGTTGTTAGCTATCAGTTTCTCTACTTGTTATAGGGTTTGTAAGCGAACAGCATGGATCCTGATCAGACTGCACGGATGCACAGGCTGTTCTGGATCCATGCTGGTCGCAAAACCATTATGTTGGTTTTGTGGTGATGCGGCTCATATGTCTTTTAGATCAAGGTTTATGTTGTATGTATTTTGATAGATCATGTTATGAATATTACCAAAGTGATAATAAACAAGTTAGAGGTGTAAGTGGTAAATTAATTGATGTTAACGGTGCAGTTTCAATCAGTTTAACCTTTAAAGAAAGGAAAATAGTGAATTAAAACAAAAATTTCAAGTTTTTGTTGATATACAACATTTGATAATAATGGGTATTGACTTTCTGCAGGTTCAGTAATGTGTCATTGATTTTGGGACAATGGTAAATTTCCAGTATATAACAGTCACAATTGGACTTAAATTTCTAAACTCGAAATGGAACTCATTTGAAATTCAAACAACCTTTCCATCCAATGTCAAACTTCAAAAATTTTATATACTTAAAACTCACTATCAGCCTTTCTTTTTTACCCTTTCCTTCATAGAGATGTAGAGTGTAACCAGACTGAAAATTGTGTAAAATAATAAATTTTTTATGTACATTTCATTCCCCTGACCAAATACTCTGTTGATAAACATTGGATTGTGAATTAATGTGTCCGATAACTGATTTTGGGTTTACAGTATATATATAAAGGGTCTTCTTTTCTGATCTCCACTGACGATTTTTAGAAGCATAAATGATGTAGCTTCTTAACTGAGCAAAGAGTAATCTTTAAATTTCAGTGTAGAGAAAAAACACTGTAAATAACTCCAGTGAGTCAACCAGAAGACCCGAATCACCCAGTAGACTCCTTTGAAACCTAGTAGAGTTAAGATAGTAGTTTTAATGATAATCAAAGAAGGGGGACCAACACATAATAGCCAAACAACCAAAGAAATACAATGTATCACCAGAGAACTCCCCCCCCCTCCCCTCCAAGACAGAAGAAAACAGATACATGACAATACCACAAATATCAACAAAAAGCAGGAAGGATGGATTGGAAATAATTCAGGTCAGTAACAATAAATGCATAAAACTTATTAATACGGTTGAAAATTTTGAAGCAGGCAAAACAATGGAAAGTCTTGGAGTATGGAAACTTAGTGAAGACCCAAACAAATAAACATGGTTACAACTACCGTGAAAGTGAGGAAGATACCACTATTGAAACTGTAAACAACGTGATTGGATATCTGACAAACTTATATAAACAAGGTTTGAGTTATACATCTATTAACACTGCATCACCTGCAATCAACAACTTTTTTTAAGATAAAATGAGTTTTGCATGTTGGCTTACAAAGAGGTATTCTGAGGACCAATAACTTGAAATAAAACTCAAGTCTTAAAAACTAATAATATTATACTTAAGTACAAACTTAAGTACAGATAAGCTTATCTATATGCTTATATATTACATAAATTGTCTGATTTTTTTGTTTAGTTTTTGTTTTAAGTCACACGAACAAGGTCAAGGTAAGCTAGTTGAATTATTAAATGGACCAGTATTTAACAGAACAGAAGGAAAATTTTAATTTGTAGCATAAAAGCTGTAATTATATATATTTTCATGGAATAATAATTCCTTCAAAATAAAGTGTTAAAAATTCTTCTTAAAATTCAATAACGCTATAAAATGTTTTTTTTTTCTTGGTAAATTAATGGGAAGATTACTATGAAGTTTTGATGAATTCAAGAATGTTGTTACTGTCTCAGAGATAGCCCTCAGGAAAATAACAGTTCAAACACATTTAAAAAGCATATGTGAAATTTCTAAGGGCAATAAATAGTACAAACAAAACCTTAATAAAAAAGCTCTAAAACCATTATGACAATAACACTATGTTAATTCCCCTACTGTGACCTTGACATTTGACCTAGGGATGCTGGTCTCATGTGTATAATAATTTTTACTTATGGTGGAACTGTGTACTACTCCAATTATTACTGTGTTCTATTTCGTCCACATAATTTAGCTAGTAACATCGGATAATTATCGCTTCTAAAGGGCCAAATTTATAACTTAATTTCACTAAATTTTGCATTTATTAAGTTTTACTAGTCTCTCGTAATTAGCCTTGATGTAGAACAAACAACATATAAAAATTAGGACGATAATTATTGAAGCGAAATTGTTAAATTTCACTAGTATAAATGTCCCTCTTTTAAAGAAAAGGCGATTATTATCGCTTGAGAGACCAGCGAAATTTAAGACATGTGAAATTGAGTACTAAATTTCGCCCTTTAGACGCTATAATGATCGCATGTTTACTAGCAAAATTTTGAGGACGAAATAGGACACAGTAAAGTGCTTGCCAATGTTATGCTTGGGACATATAATCTATTTATGAAGGTCATATTCATCCTTCTAACCCTTATCAAAGTATACACTTTTCACACACACACATACATAAACAAGGGTAACACTATACATAAGGGCATAAATTCAAGTGATCTTAAAGTGATCATACTCTATGGAACATTATTTTTAGCGACCATTACACTACCTTGTACAACGGAGAAACATTATATTATCCCCTTTGAATAAAATCAAACCTTTGCTTTTACTACAATGCACAGTGAAGAAATTATTTAACATTCAAACAGAATTTGTTGCATAAACACATGCAGAAAAATTGATCTTGTTAGCTGAGGAAATGATTGTTGTGGTTAAGCAACAGCTCATGATAGTACAGTACATGTAATTGCAATTTGAATGTCAGGGGGATATCTTATAAACAGGTTGCTGTTACATGAGCTGTAAATAAACAATGTTTAATACATTGTTCATTTTCCAATTTTAGGACTGGAAGTATAGACAATAATGAAGGAACTGACACACATCTGTGTCAGAAAGAACCAATGAAACATGCTAATATTATCATTGCCCTAATAAAAACAGACAAAACTTGCACAGGCAAGCCAATAATGAAACCAACCTATATAGTTGACTTCATAAACAAGAGCTGTCAGAGGAGACAGACACGCTCGACTAATTAAATACTGGTTAAATACTGGACACAGTAAAGGAAGACAAAACTTTTATATGAAAAAAAAACAAAAACAAAAAACAATTAGGAGTTAATATATATTCTGTATCAGTATCAAGAACGCACTCAAGTGTTCAATATCTGTGCACCACATAATATACATGTGACCATGTCAATAAAAGTTATTCCGACATCCCTGAAGCAATAAGAAGTTACAGAAATATAAGAAAAATTTTAAGTTTTATGAGAAGATAATTCAGAAAATATTGACACTAGAGTTATGAACCTTGTCATACAACTATTATATGGAAGTGAATATGAAACTTTAAATCAAAGTTTAAAGTAAATTATTTGCTTTGAAAAATAAAGAAAAAATCAATTTCAAAGTTCAAAGGGGGGGGGGGAATAATTCTGGAAATATTCATGGTTGAGTTATAAATCTTGTCACACATGATGTGGGTGATAATAAGTAACATATATTTGATTTGAAGTTGATACCTTGAGAAATAAAAAATTATAGTAAGAAATAATTAAAATACTTTACTGCACCAAAACTTTTATCTGAAATCTGGACAAGACATGGAGGCCACAGTGAGTAGGACAGCTCTCAATACATTTTGTATGGGCGAGCTTAAAAAATAGTTGATCAATAAGGTCATATTAATCATAATGCTTTCTTTAATCTCTTTAACATTATGATAGTGAAAGTATACATTCTAAATCTCATATATGATATGTAACAGAAGACGATATCACACATATATTTGCCTGGCATTTGTTGCAATGCTGAAAATGTCAGCTAAAGGGCACCCAGACTCCCTGGGTTAGTCATAACAGAACATTAGCTTGCAACAACCTGATAATCAAGGCATCATTTCCACAATTTTTTTATTTTTTTCTAATCTGATAAATTGCTGTTCTCAATTTTGTATGCCATTATTATTATCTTACGTAACATTACATTTTTACTGCTAGGGTGTTTAAATGCTTATATAGAATTATTAGTTACTATTATATATGATAAGATTTATTTAATCATTGATGTTAAAGTGCTTTAAATACAACATTTTACACAAAAAAACCCGTTGACCTCAATTCTGGTCCATGTTTTTGAAAACCTTTACACTACCTTAACCATATAGAATGCAATAAAAATAAACCCAACACAACTGAGCTGACATTTGAAAAAATAATCATTAGAAAACTGAAACAACCTTTACAATTTATTGCTCAGAATATTATAAACAAGAGCCATGTCAACATGGCCATCCCCCGCCGAATGTGTTTGCTCATTGGAAGAATGTATATGTAGTAGAGCAGAATAATTCAATTTTAAGAGGTCTTTTGGTAATGAAAACTGATGGCTGAAGTGATAACAGATTTGAAACCTATGTGAATACTGATGGCTGAAAATAACAAAGGGCAATAACTGAAAAATAATGCAGGGTAGGTTATCATTCTTGTGTGCTGCACCCTCCTCAGTAAAATCTATCCACCTATGAGGTTTCAAGTTGATACCTTAATAAGCTCCCAACAAAATAGTATGAAAAAGAACAAAGGGCAATAACTCAAAAGTTATATAGGGAAGAGTTATCATACTTGCGCACAGCATTCCTCCTCAATAAGATCTATCCACCTATGACATTTCATGTTGACATCTCATACACTTTTGAGTTATGCTCCATTCAGGTGAAAAATTAAGTATGAAAAATAAAGGGCAACAACTCAAAAATTATGAAAGGTAGAGTTATCATTCTTGTGCACTGCACACCTTCTGAGTGAGATCTATGGACCTATGAAGTATCATGTTGACACCTCAAACGCTTTTTGAGTTATGATCTGGACAAAAATTAATTTTGAAAAATAACAAAGGGCAATAACTCAAACATTATGCAGGGAAGAGTTATCCTTTTTCAGGCATTACTTGCACTGAACTCCTCCTCAATGAGATCCATCCACCTATGAAGTTTCAAGTTGATACCTCAAATACTTTTTGAGATAAGCTCCTGACAAAATAGTATGAAAAAGAACAAAGGGCAATAACTCAAAAATTATATAGGGAAGAGTTATCATTCTTGCGCACAGCATTCCTCCTCAATAAGATCTATCCACCTATGACATTTCATGTTGACATCTCAAACACTTTTGAGTTATGCTCCACTCAGGTGAAAAATTAAGTATGAAAAATAACAAAGGGCAATAACTCAAAAATTATGAAAGGTAGAGTTATCATTCTTGTGCACTGCACACCTCCTGAGTGAGATCTATGCACCTATGAAGTTTCATGTTGATATCTCAAAGGCTTTTTGAGTTATGCTCTGGACAAAAATTAATTTTGAAAAATAACAAAGGGCAATAACTCAAAAATTATGCAGGGTAGAGTTATCATTCTTGTGCACTGCACTCCTCCTCAATGAGGTCTATCCACCTATGAAGTTTCAAGTTGATACCTCAAATACTTTTTGAGATATGCTCCGGACAAAAATGTCGGACGGAAGGACGGACGGAGACTATTTCTATATCCCCCTCAGCCTTTCGGCGGGGGATAATTAAACATTTCAGTAACAGATGCAAAGAACCTCCATTAAAGACTTTGGCTCTCATTGGCAATTTACAATTTCATCACTGTAAGTACTTGGCAGTTTAAAGCATTACATTTTTCCAGAAATAACTTTTTTTCCAGCTCATAAATTTTGTAATTAATGCTCAAAGATGTTGGTTATCGTCTTATTACACTTACCATATTTGGTAATAATAGCAGTTTAACTTGTTAAATGTTAGAATGTGCCAAAAAGGACAATTTTATTGAACAACAACTTTGTTCATGTACTAATGTTTAGGAAAACCTTTACACTACCTCAACTAAAAAGAATGTGAATATAGTAATACCATGCCAAGGCAAAAAACACCAAAAAATGTTTTACCAGGAATGTAATAATGATATTAAAAACCTTTACACTACCTCAACTAAAAAGAATGTGAATATAGTAATACCATGCCAAGGCAAAAAACACCAAAAAAAGTTTTACCGGGAATGTAATAATGATATTAAAAAGACAAGCTCAAAAGGACCTTAACAAAACAGAGACAATGCTGGTTCATTAGAGAATTATAGACAACTTGTTCTGTTCTTTACAGTGTTTCCCTTACAAAAGTAACCAACGCCTATTATTCTGTTCTGAATGAAAACAAACAGTAACAAATTTTAACACAGAACAATTAAGTACAGATCAAGCAAAGATTTGGATTTGTTACAGAAACTAACAAGAACCGGTTGAACCGGGTGATGCTCCCCGAGAAGGTTCTGGACACAGGAAATTATAAAAAAAATGAACAAAGGGCAAAAACTCCAAAATTAGGCAAAGTGGAGTTATGTTTTTTTGCAATGCACTTCTATTCAATGAGATCTATCTATCTATAAAGTTTCCTGATGATATCAGAGTGTAAAAATGAACAAAGGGCAATAACTCCAAAATTAGACCAGGCTTTGTTTAGGTTCTTTAAGCATTGCAGTTCTATCCAATTATATCTAGGTACCTACATATGGAGGGCGATCGTTGCCAAAATTCCAGACATGTAAAGTGTTCCTTTTTAAAATGAATTTTGAAAATGCAAACTTGTATGCCTACCATTTTTTATTTTACCCGTGCATAGCACATGGTATGTCTCTTAAATCAATCTTTTAATTGAGGGTTCCCGCCTTTATATGACAAGTTTACATATAGATCGTAACAACTGACCTAACATCTAAAACGACATCAAATTTACAAGTTCGTATCTTCCATTGCATGCAATTCATAATTTATGCATTTTTGCACACTTCTAGATATGAAATATACAAATGAAATGTAAATCTTAAATACAGAGAATAGAGAGAGAGTTAAAACGTGTTACCAGTTGTAGAACTACACGAATACGTTAACACAGTAACATGTTTAAAATGACAAAAGTAGGTTTACAAAGTTAAACGATTTTAAGTCAAGCATAACGCCCCGCCCCTCTCGGAGTATTTACGAACTTCTATTGCGGACAGGTATAAAGCGGCGCCTCTCCCATATTTCTAAATAAAACCCAAGGACACCATACCGCCTATTTCATACATATATTTGTTTCATTAGTTACAAAAGTTTTGTCACTTGCAACATCACTTGAAAATTGCTGGTTTTAACATTTATGATGAAGATAACTTATGCATAAACTTATCATTTAACATTGTGTTTTCCTGAGAAACATCGGCGATTTGGAAATTTTTAGGGCAAACAATGACCAACTTCAAGGGAGTAATATTATTGATAATCTTAAGACCATCCAATATTTTTATTGGTTTCATTGAAAAATGTATTGGCACAAATTTCATTTTCAACAAAAACTATGCAAGTATTTGCAAAAATAGGATTTTAAAGCAGCCACCGAGATTTCCTTTCTGAAATCAAGAGAAAAAAACTTATCCGTAGCACATCTGTACAATCTTTAATATGGTATTTTCAGTATAAATAAAAACATTTTGCACTTTTTCATTATCCCTCATGTACAGACTCAATCAAACCGAGGCTGAATTTCTAATGTTATTTTGTTGTGATTTATACGTCCGAGGGATCACTTTGTTTCAAGATTTTTATACTTCACAACAGCAGGTGTCAAGGCCGTGTAGCAACTGTAAAAAGTTTCCCCGTACTCCACTTCAGTGTAGTTATATTTTTCTGGTCCGTCGGGATCATTGATGCCAGCGCTATTAAGTGTTGAGAATTGAGTACCGCTCAAGTCGGTGCCAGGGGGGGCGTAAGGGAAGTTGCACTTGTTCATCTTCCCTAATGTACAGACTCAATAAAACCGAGTCTACAGTTCCTTTGAATTCCTAATCAGTTACAAATTATTAATCATTTAGTGAATAACCTGTCCGTGCTCTGTCTTTGCCCTGTCCTGTTTTTGTTTGGGGTCCGCCTGGGCTCCTTGCCACTGGTTCTTGTTGCTGGGTCATATGGGGGTTGCGTTCATTGAACGCCGCCTTTCCTTGTTAATCTTGTTTATCATATTTTATGTAATTTTGTTGTGATTAATGCTTCCGAGGGATCACTTTTTTTAATATACTTGTCCAAAGGTTATGGTCTTAACTTTCATTCAATATTCATTTTCTTTTTTGAATAAAGTATCTAAAGGAAGCGACGTGATTTTCTTGCCAAATATATGAATGTGGTTTTAAGAGAGAAAAAATAAACAACGATAAGTTCGAAACAAAATTTTAAATACGTGATTAATTTTCATTTTTAAGGCATCACTAGAAAGTTCACGAAGGATTCTTTTACTTGAGTCTAAATTTATAAAAAATGACCAAGAAAAAAAGGTAAGTAGGGGCACAATGTTTCTCTTACTGAATTTCAGAGTGTGTTTTGTTTTCTTACTTGGGGACCATATGCCGTTTTTCATGGAATGGCACTAACGTGTCACATTGAAGGTTCCATGATAATCGCCATATTAACACATATGCGGAAGTTTCAAAATTGTACCAGTTCATATTTTGCTTGAGACGGTGCTAGGGGGCGTGGACGGTAACTTGCACTTGCCATTACCGTCCATGAACAGGCTCAATCAAACCGAGCCTGCAACATTCTCAATTTTGTCGTTTTGAGCGTTCTTTAGGGATTCTTATTTTCTGTATTTTACAGAAAGTAACATGATAAAATATGATAAACAAGATCAACAAGGAAAGGCGGCGTTCAATGAACGCAACCCCCACATGACCCAGCAACAAGAACCAATGGATAAACTTTAAAACGAAAAAATAATTCATTTTGATTTAATTCAGTTTTATTTTTAGGCATTATATAATTATATATTATAAATCGTATGAAGCACACTTTTAATTCAATCCAAAATTATCAAAATTGATTACGAACTTAAAAAGTTTGGAAGGAACGCCGTGTTTTTCTTACCAATTCGAGAGTGTTATTTTCAGAGGAAAAAAATGATAAATTTTGAAACAAAAATTTCAATACATCTATTTAATTTATTTTTATTTTTGAGGTACTCATACAAAGCTTATGGAGTAATCTTCCGTAATCTTCCATTTGGTACAAACAAATAGTTGACTTTTTATAGAAATAAAAAAAGTTAGAATGGACGCCGTGATTTCTTTCACATTATTGAGAAATAGGAGAGAGGCGACGAGTATTATACATGTCCGAACATTTCGTAATAGAAGATCGTAAGTACTCAGAGAGGGGCGGGGCGTCATGCATGACTTAAAATCTTTTAACTCTGTGAATCTACTTTTGTCATTTTAAACGTGTTACTGTGTAAACGTACTGTTGTAGTTCTACGACTGGACATGCTTTATTAAATTCTATTTTCTGTATTCGAGTTTTACATTTCATTTGTATTTTTCAGGTACAGATAGATATCTACAAGTGTGCAAACATGCTTATGTATTATATGCAATGGAAGATACGAACTTGTAAATTTGTTGTTGTTCTCCATGTTATGTCAGTTGTTGAGATAACATGTAAACTTGTTATTTAAAAGCGGGTGACTTCAATTAAAAGATTGGATTAAGAGGCATATCATTTGTTGTGCAGGAATACAATAAAAAATGCTAGACATACACGTTCGCATTTTCAAAAGTAGTTTTCAAAAGGAACATTTTACATGACTGGAATTTTGGCAACGATCGCCCTCCATACCTACAAAGTTTCATGTTGATATCTCAAATAGTTTTAAAGTAATGTCCAGGACAAAAGTCAAAAAGTAAAAATAAACAAAGGGCAATTTCTTCAAAATAAGGCAAGGCAGAGTAATGATTCTTATCTATCTACAAAGTTTCATGTTGATATCTCTTATAATTTTAGAGTAATGTCCCAGACAAAGTTCAAAGTGTCAAAATGAACAAAGGGCAAGAACTCCAAAAGTAGGCAAGACAGTGTTACAGTTCTTGTGCACTGCAAACTTACTCAATGAGATCTATCTACCTACAATGTTTCATGTTGATATCTCTTATACATTAAGAGTTATGTCCCGGACAAAGTTCAAAGTGTAAAAATAAACAAAGGGAGATAATTCAAAAATTAGGCAAGGCAGGGTTAAGGTTCCTGTTCACTGCACACCTACTCAAAGAGATATATCTACCTACAAAGTTTCATGTTGATACCTCTTATACTTTTAGAGGTATGTCCCAGACAAAGTTCAAAGTGTAAAATAAACAAAGGGGGATAATTAAAAAAAATTAGACAAGGCAGAGTTACGGTTCTTGTGCACTGCACACCTACTCAATGAGATCTATCTAACTACAAAGTTTCATGTTGATACCTCTTATTCTTTAAGAGTTATGTCCAGGACAAAGTTCAAAGTGTTAAATAAACAAAGGGGGATAATTCAAAAATTAGGCAAGGCAGAGTTACGGTTCTTGTGCACTGCACACCTACTCAATGACATCTATCTACCTACAAAGTTTCATGTTGATACCTCTTATACTTTTAGAGTTATGTCCCGGACAAAGTTCAAAAAGTAAAATAAACAAAGGGGAATAATTCAAAAATTAGGCAAGGCAGAGTTACGGTTTTTGTGCACTGCACACCTACTCAATGAGATCTATCTACCTACAAAGTTTCATGTTGATACCTCTTATACTTTTAGAGTTATGTCCCGGACAAAGTTCAAAAAGTAAAATAAACAAAGGGGAATAATTCAAAAATTAGGCAAGGCAGAGTTACAATTCTTGTGCACTGCACACCTACTCAATGAGATCTATCTACCTACAAAGTTTCATGTTGATACCTCTTATACTTTTAGTTATGTCCCGGACAAAGTTCAAAGTGTAAAATAAACAAAGGGGGATAATTCAAAAATTAGGCAAGGCAGAGTTACGGTTCTTGTGCACTGCACACCTACCCAATGAGATCTTTCTACCTACAAAGTTTCATGTTGATACCTCTTATACTTTTAGAGTTATGTCCCAGACAATGTTCAAAGTGTAAAAATAAACAAAGGGGAATAATTCAAAAGTTAGGCAAGGCAGAGTTACGGTTCTTGTGCACTGCACACCTACTCAATGAGATTTATCTACCTACAAAGTTTCATGTTGATACCTCTTGTTGTTTCAAAGTTATGTCTCGGACAAGAAAAGGGACGGACGGAAAGACGGACGGACGGACAAGGCGGCGACTATATGCTCCCCCGGAATTTTTTCGGGGAGCATAACAATGGGTGATTTATAATATATATAATAATATTCATGATATATATTTAATATTTATAACATATAATTTATAATCAGAAAAATGAGAACACATTTGAAAACTTCAGCATGAAATACTTCAGTTATGGAAATTGTGCATGAGCACCTCTACAAAATTATGGATTGTTACTGGAAACAATGGAAGATTAATAAGAATTGATCTGAAAATGTGGAAAACACATTTGGGACACCTTTGCAAACTTTCACCAAAGACATCAACTATTTGATGAAAACCAACTATATTAAATTTTTTATGTTTAACATCCAAAGTAAAGAAAAAAACATGTGGAAAAAGACGTGTGTATCTTTTCAAAACAAAATGCACCTTATTCAAGGAAGAGGACTGTAATTGAAAAGTCAGAATGTAAACTCTATAATGTGTAATACGAAAAGTGACTGTAAACACATTTAGAATACCTTTGCAATCTTTTACACAGAACTAATCAACAATTAGTATCGTGCCAAGTCTACAGGAGACATGGACCTTATGGCCCGAAAAAACAGATCTGACTAGCAGAACAGATTATTCAGTTATTAGATAAAAGGCTTCCAAGTATTACAGTAGGTGAGCCAACTAATAATTTGGCAAAACTGACTGAAATTGATAAGGATATATAATGATGGAAAAACAAAAGTTGTAGCAAGCAGGCGATGATGGATTTCAACATAATCAGTGACAGACTGGAAGATTAGGAATCCGAGAGAACAGCTCAACTAGAAGCAGCAAGATCTAATAAAGAAGCTCTGCCAAGTCAAGTAAATAGGACAAAGGAAACCTAGATAAGCCTTATGTAACAGAGGGTTCCCTTATCCCAGGAATGCCACAAGGCAAAGGAAACTGTTCAGTTGAAATTCACATATCAGAGAGATCCCAAAGGAATAATACTTCCAGACTTCTGTACTTCACCACCTAATATTGATTGGACTCAATCTTTAGCTATAAAGCATATGAACAAACGTCAGAGTGAAAAAAGAAAGACTTTACAAGGGGTTAATTCTAATATACAATGTACTTAATTCAAAAATGAACGCAAGGGAATTTGAAAATGAATTTATCAGAACAATTTGAACTTTATTACTGATCTATGAAAGTAAGAATTTATTGTTAGAATCTGACATTTACATAGTTTAGTAACTTGATACATTTAATTAATGGGGATTATCAAGAATCTTGTATTTAATAATCCTTCTTAAATGCATCATCTAAACATAAAAAACATAAATATACCCAATTTAACAACTCATCCGAATGCCCCATGAAAATTTACAATAATCTATTATCAAACTGGCATTTTTTATTTTTTAATTCAGAACTTTTTATAAACTTCATAAATGAAGTTGCTGAGATATGTAAGTTTTGCAATTGGTGTACCTATATCTCAATACCTGTAAAACAAATAAAAAGTTAATTTTCATTGCTACATCTGCTAATTAAAGTGTGAAAAAACAAAAAATATTCTACATGTACTGAATAAAAAACTACAAACTAAGAAGACGGAGAGTGCAGAAGGGAACATCTTGTCTAACTCAAAGCTACACAACCCTGTACGATATTTTGTGTTCCGTTACTGAACAATTCAAGGTAGGTACTAGACTGAGCATAGTAAAACCTCGAAGATTTAATTTTCCGCCCTAGATTGAACTCTTGGTTCATATCATTGACCTCTTGTTTCGTATCACAGGGAGAACACAAACCTATACTGTGTCACATCCCTGTATATGTACAGTGGTACCTCACTATTCTGTTCTTACATCTGTTCTATCTCTAACATCAGAATATGTACTATCACATTATCACGATCAAATATAGCCATAAAGATCTAGAAGACAAGGCCTCAGTGATGGATTGGTTCAAAGTTCACACTTCTAGATGGATCTGTAGGGAAGAACACTTGAGCTTGTGTCATAATTCTTTTCAGTCCCTGAAAAATACAAATAATGTAAAGATTATCCAAAGGTACCACGGTAAATTAAAATTGATTTTGATATCATTCTTGTACCTAAAAGATAGTTAGACGTTATCCCTACAAGAGCTGTCACACAAAAGAGACAAATGCCCCTGAAAAGGTTTCATAAGTATTGCAGAAAGGTATTATGAAAAGAAAAGAGAATATAAGTAACTAATTGCTTAATATTGTTCTTGTCAAATGAAGTGCTATTCAAAGCAATTTTATCACCTTAACTTTGCAGGTAGAAACATCGGTCTTAATGTGGTAGACATTTATGTAGTTATTTTAAAATCCTTCAATGCATCACAAAGAAACATTCTGGATACGAATGTGTACCTTCAACCTCTGTGACCTTGACCTTTAAGGTAGTGCAATTTTAATATGCTGCCCTTTGGAGGCATAAAAAAATACTGTGAAGAAAGACTTTCACCTGAATGTATTTTCTCTGTGTTTCGTCATTCAGAACATGGGCAACATATCTGGAGGAAATCTTCTCACGTCCTGTACGGGCGTGAATACCAACCATAGTGACACCAATAGGCCAGGGCGCATTACCTATAGCCATCTCCAAGTATGAATCATTTGCCTAAAAATGAACATTCACATTAACTGATTGCATAATACATAATATATACAAATATACTGAATTTTAGCTTAATTATGTTGTACATTAATATTAGTGATTTTAAACCATCTATTTTAAGTCTAAAATCCAACTTTAAAATCAGACTTGTAACATAAAAAATTATGTTAATAGAATTCAAAACCAGCTATCATTTCTAGGTTTTCAATATCTGATCACCCTACAAGCATAGCATAGCCAGAGAAGTTCAGGCACATGTTCTGTATGATTTTATAGATTTTATCGTGTCTGAAATAATTCTTCCTTTATTTCTGGTAACTTGCTTGAGGGGAGATTAATACTGGTACATAACCCAGGTGCAAAGACAAAAGAGAAAATTTTGCTTTGTAGGAAACTAAGGAACATGAACTGATGAAAGAGTTACATGAGAAAACAATTGACATTAAAATGTCACAAAAATTAGGTTTTCTGTAAATAACAAATATGTGAAAGAAAAAGCACACACAAAAAACAAAGGGCCATAATTCTTCCAAAACATGATCAAATCACTCTAAAACATATTATGTGCCTGGGTACTTGTCAACAACCATTCTATGGAGGTTTGGTTGATATCAACAGAAAAATATATTTTCACAAAGAAGATGCTGTTTAATCTAAGCCAATTGCCTAATGACATTTGTCTATCTAATCACCAATTGTTTTTAAAAACATATATATGATTACTATATGTAAACTGTGCATGTAAATACTAAGTTTTATAAAAAATTCTTCTTAAAATAAGATTAAAATAGTATTTTACCTTGATATAATCCCTTTCTAGAGTGAATCCTAAAATCTGAACTAGACACTCCAAGATGTCCTCTTGCATTTTCTGTAGAACACAAAATAAATACAATGTATCAACATATTAATTACATTGGAGTCAAAAATCTGTTGCAACCATGTTACAGTAGAATTACAGTAGAATAACTTATAACAGTAGAATTTTAAATATTTCTTCAGAAAACAAAGGAAATTTTTAGAGAAAAAGACAACAACAAAAGACCATGGATATTTATGTTTTATTTTAATATAAAACTAGCAAATCATCAATGGATTGGTAATACTCTTATACACATGTACATGTATATGTTACTATTTTTGAATTTTTGAAAATACATTGGTGTGTACCTTTAAGATTACACAATTACAAATATACGTTATCCCCTACCTTATTTTTCAACTTCCTAAACATGGGTTTCATGTAACTGACAGTTTGTTGGTGCATAGCAGCATTCATCTTTCCTTTTAAACTTCTCTTTTCCGAATCAGATTTCTTGTTGATGTCATTTCCCCAAGTATTTAATACAAACTAAAGGGATAAAAAAATCAAGCATAATAGGTGAATGACCAACTTCATTATATAAACATACTAGGCATACAGCTGTCATTGATAGAAACAATATCGATGTATTGTTGATATTTTCTATCGATCAATTATCCATTCACATTTCAAAAAATCGATAATTTTGACTGATTAATTCAATGTCTAGAAATTACCAAAATTCACCAAAAACATATACAGAAGCAGTTATCTATGTCTAACGTTATGCTGTTGTTACGTAATGGAATTATTTCATGGCAGTGATGACACAAAAAAATGGTCAGAAAACAAAAATCATGCAATGGGAATTTATAAAAGAATATGTATTTTACTGGAATCATTTAAACTAGTAGGAAAGTGAATGACAGACACATTATTATAGGTAATTATCAATATATTAGTGTTATGTATTGTTGATATATCATATACTTGATATTTGTCATTTGATATTGATACAGCGTTGATATGCTTTGCACTCAATGACAGCTGTACATAAACAGTATCATTATATATTGGTATAATAATTTGGGTTAACCATTTATTTTTATCTTGTTTACTTTTATTTTTTTAAATATTTATTTAAGCATTTACCTTCAAGAAACGCAGAATAATTTCTTGATCCCTGTCACTATCACCATTACCCAACTCATTTTTCCACACCTGAAATAAAAATTGTCATTGTAAAAAAATACCCTAAACCATCTGTAAACAAGAGCTGTCATAGGACAGTTTGCTTTTTACAGTGGTTGATTGTGAAGTACAAACTATTCAGGAATGCTGTTACAGCAAATATGACAGCACAAACCATTCAGGAATGCTGTTACAGCAAATATGACAGCACAAACCGTCAGGAATGCTGTTACAGCAAATATGACAGCACAAACCATCAGGAATGCTGTAACAGCAAATATGACAGCACAAACTATTTAGGAATGCTGATAAAGCAAATATGACAGTACAAACCATTCAAAAATGCTGTTACAGCAAATATGACAGCAACAAACATTCAGGAATGCTGTGACAGAAAACATGACAGCACAAACCATTCAGGAATGCTGTTACAGCAAATATGACAGCACAAACCATCAGGAATGCTGTTACAGCAAATATGACAGCAACAACTATTTAGGAATGCTGATACAGCAAATATGACAGTACAAACCATTTAGGAATGCTGTCACAGCAAATATGACATCAAAAACCATCAGGAATGCTGTCACAGCAAATATGACATCAAAAACCATCAGGAATGCTGTTACAGCAAATATGACATCAAAAACCATCAGGAATGCTGTTACAGCAATATGCGTTACAAACCATTCAAAAATGCTGTTACAGCAAATATGACAGCACAAACCATCAGAAATGCTGTTACAACAAATATGACAGTACAAACTATTCAGAAATGCTGTTACAGCAACAAACATTCAGGAATGCTGTTACAACAAATATGACAGCACAAACTATTCAGGAATGCTGTGACAGCAACAAACATTCAGGAATGCTGTTACAGCAAATATGACAACACAAACCATTCAGAAATGCTGATAAAGCAAATATGACAGCAACAAACTACTCAGGAATGCTGTTACAGCTAATATGATGGCAACAATCATTCAGGAATGCGGTTACATCAAACATTACAGCAACAAACATCCATGGATGCTGTTACAACAATTATGACAATCACATCCACTGCAATATAAAACGGACAGGCAGTTACATACATTTTCAGAAACATTTCTTGTTTGTTTTTGAAAACAATATACAATGTACAAATATGTCTATAAAATCTATCTATACCTTAATCAATCATAAATCATGTAGTATTAAACAACGAGTTTAATTTCTTAAAATAAAGATAGGTTTGCCCTTCTTAACACTCCTACACTTTACAAAGGTTAAAACAACCCTGTTCATCAAAATTATACCTTCTTTAGTCCAATTATTCAGAAAACACCATGATACACATGTTCATCTATATATTTGTATCTTTTTACAGGCAAAACTGATGCATCATGTCTTCTGGAACAAGTCAAGAAATGGTAAAGAACTTTTCTTGCCTACCTCTATATCATCAATTGTGGTACCATCATCTTTGACCGAGACTGTTTCCCTTTTTCTGCTGTGGGCTTCAGCACTGTCGGCAGAGTTCATGATCTCAGCATAATATTCCTGATCTACCTTGTCCATAGCCGCTTTAAAATCATTGGAACCAGCTCCTAAACCCTGGAATGTTAGAAAATATGAAGTCATTACTTTACCTTCTTTATATAAACATTGTGAACACTAGTTGAAATCTTTCTTCCATATATGCCACTTAAAGTAATTGGAAAAAAAATTCATAAATATAAGTTTTGAACCTTGAATATGCAATTTAGATCCTGAAGATATGTGTAAAATTTCAACTGAATATAATCATTGGCTGATGAAATATTAAGTGTTACACAAAGAAACAAGAATTTATGCCAATGCTGAAGCATGAGCAAATAAGGTAGTCACACTTCCCTTGGGTTAAACATATTCATTTCAAGCTCAATTGCGAAACAAGTTCTTGCAACTTATATTAATCACTTTCCAGTCCGCTTCCTCAAACCAACCAGTATTGATGTCATATGAAGAAACATGGTTGTGACCCGATTAGGGCTTGAACCCATGATCCCTGGGTTGAGAGGCAGACATATTAACCACAAGGCCATCGCTCCCCTTAAGATGCCTTCACACTTTTCTTCAAATAGTAAAGCTAAAATGTTCTATGTGATTCAAATGTAAAATGTTGACAAACCTTGCTGAAGTCCGGTTCTGCCGACTCCAACTTTTTCAGTCTCGCAAAAGCATCATATTCTGACTCTCCAAATAGAAGTATTGGTTCATTGAAGTCTCGAAGCCTTCTTATTACCTGAAATAATCCATGGCAAGCATATAATGATCTGCAATAACAAGTCGACCAATTATTAAATATCTTAAGACATTTTTTTATATCTGGGGTTGGATTTTGCAACATACCTACACTGTACAGGTCATACTACAAATTTTCAGCAAGGCCTCAGATGTCCCTCCTGCCATTATTTCAGGACAACAGGCACCTGAGTAGAACTACCAACTACTTTATGTAAGCCAGCTGTGTAGCTTCCTAACATAAAAGAATCCAAAGTTGCTGGTGAAATTAACACCCATAGCTGCGATAAGCAAGTTGTATTAAACATAAACGTAAACAAATATAATATAGGTCATAATTTCCAAATGACACTAACAATAACTACTTTAACAACCTTGTATAGACAGTAAATTTTGCTATAAAATCTTTATTTATTTACCTAAAGTTTGGCTGTAAATGATTATAATGTAAGGTGACAGTATTGTTTACCAGTAACCACTAGATAATTCCTGTTAAGACAAAGTCAGAACTGCTGCTACAAACAAAGTTGTATTTACACGCCACTTTCCTTAAAACTAAAATAAATAAAAGGATGATCAAATGTACCTCTTTTCTATGAAGCATAACTTTCTCCGAGTCTTCAGAACTTGAAGGTTTACTTCCACCCATCTGTAAAAAGTATAACAATTACTTAGATATAAATCATAATTTTAACACAAAACAACATTTCATTGCCCAAAACAGAAAAGGCAAAACAAAAAATTCTCAACATTGGCCTCAATGGCCTGAGATCAATCAAAACTCCTTTTTGAAGATTTAAATTTAAACAAAGCTTGACCGGCTTATTTTCCATGAATGAGTATAAACAGACTATGCTATGACTGTTATGGTCAATTAGTCATTTTGGTCAGGAAAATGACCTCAGGTGCCCCTAAATGCATATTTTCGGCATAAGCACACTCGAGTAGAATCACTTCCCTCCCATAACCTTGCTAGACATATCTTCTCACATAAAAGAATATAAAATGCCTTGTGGGATACCTACGGGGGTAAGTGATTTGATGTCAGTGACATTAACCATCCAGCCATAGAGGCCCTTAATAATTAATCTGCGATGATTATCTAATTTTACCAATATTTACATAAGATTTAAACATTTTTAGCAACAATGTCCATGTATGAAGAGGCTAGGAGTACTTTTTAAACAAATCTGTTAAAAAAGGGTAACAAACCTGAGCTAATTCAGAATCTATCTCTGTATTTTGAACAGCTTTTTTATGTTTTTTCCAGTACTCCTCTTCTTGTTTAGCTGCAAGATCACCTCTCTTGAAATATTTCTTATTTGGAGCCTGCAATTACAAAACTTGGCAGTTTGTACTCCTATTCAATCTCAATTCAGTTCAAGTTTCACCAAATAACACTCGTGTTCGTATTTGTCAGTGGTAATAGTGGTAACTTTAACTTAATAAGCGTCTGTCATGACGGTCACAATATTGGACCTGTATATTGCTAAGTACTATCCCACACAAAACGGGTCAAAATACATCAACATACATTGTGTTGTTTACAGTTATTAAATTTGCATACAAGTAAAATATACTGTTTCCATGAGACAATTGTGACCCAACGGTTGTTATGTTTTACTTGACACAGATATAAACACTCCTATTTAACCTGTCAACATGTAGCAAGTAGGACAGCTTGATGCAGGTAAAATATACTTTATTACTATAATTTGTCTCTTTCAATAAACATTAATTTGTATGATATAATTGCAGGATAAAAAACTAACAGGCGCACAACTTTTCTACCCACAACCAAAGGATCTACTTGCCACCAGTTAACGGGTGTGTTTATAATTTTATTTGAGGCATGCAAAATAAAAGGTTGCATTGGTTTAAATTACAGCATGATAAACATTGCAAAAACCTCTCTTAGATGTTGTTTCATCGGACAGGACATGTATTAATCATCTAGTTCCATATAAATGTATAGTTGTGGTGAAAATTTTTCTTTTGATGAAATTTAATTTCGATATTTACAAAATTATAGTTCTGGCTTCCAAAAGTTTATAAGCCGCTATTTAACATTTTTGTTTTTCATCAGATGCGGCATTAAACATCATGTCATAGTATAATATAACAAGAGCTGTCAGTAGGACAGCATGCTCGACTATTCTAAGTGCTTGATAGTAAAAGAGCCTTCATAGTGTTAAATTTTTTAAGTTCACTAAAGGGCCAATTTTTTTTTATAAATTCATGTTATAGGCCAATTATACAGTATTGGCTTGACTATTCGGAAGGTAATGTCACAAGGGTGTTTTATTGAGTATAATAATACTAATAACCTATGAATACATAAATTTGACAGAAAAGGTACAAAGGCTTGTTATTAAGATGTTTTATTAAGTAAATCACTGCTTTATTATTATGAATGCATAAAATTGTCCCAAAAAGGCACAAACCCTTCAGTAGTTATTGAGATAACAGCTTACAAGCAAAACTTTACCATGAATTTCTAAGTTGAAAAAGGGGAGAAAAATCAGCCTAAATGCAAGATAGAATTATGGATCTTTGTCAGTGACCTACAATTATGACCCTAAATGCATATGTGAAGTTTTAAATAAATATCTTTAATAGTTATTGAGATATGTAAAACTTGCATGTAAACATTAACCAAGAGACTAAGTAGAAAAGGGAATATGAATCAGCCTTAATGCAAGATAGAGTTATGGAACTTGGTCAGTGACATACAATTATGACCCTCCAATTATGACCCTAAGTGCATGTGTAAAGTTTCAAGTAAATATCTTTGAAGACCTTTAACCTTTAACCAAAATTTCTAACTTTCAAAGGGGCAAATAATTCTGCAAATTTTGCAGACAGAGTTATGCAATTTTGCAAACTGATGTACATTGTTACTATAAAAAAGTATTTTAAATTTCAATTGAATATCTCAAGCAATAATTGAGATATTTGACTTTATAAAAAAACTTTAACCAAAATTTCTAAGTTCCAAAGGGGCATAATTCTGTCAATATTGTAGGCAGAGTTATCCAACTTGTCAATCTGATGTACCTTGTTACTATAAATAAGTATTGTAAGTTTCAATTGAATATCTCAAGCAATAATTGAGATATTTGACTTTACAAAAAACTTTAACCAAAATTTCTAAGTTAAAAAGGGGGCATAATTCTGTCAATATTGTAGGCAGAGTTATCCAACTTGTCAATCTGATGTACCTTGTTACTATAAATAAAGTATTGTAAGTTTCAATTGAATATCTCAAGCAATAATTGAGATATTTGACTTTATAAAAAAAACTTTAACCAAAATTTCTAAGTTAAAAAGGGGCATAATTCTGTCAATATTGTAGGCAGAGTTATCCAACTTGTCAATCTGATGTACCTTGTTACTATAAATAAGTATTGTAAGTTTCAATTGAATATCTCAAGCAATAATTGAGATATTTGACTTTACAAAAAACTTTAACCAAAATTTCTAAGTTAAAAAGGGGCATAATTCTGTCAATATTGTATGCAGAGTTATCCAACTTGTCAATCTGATGTACCTTGTTACTATAAATAAGTATTGTAAGTTTCAATTGAATATCTCAAGTAATAATTGAGATATTTGACTTTACAAAAAACTTTAACCAACGCAGACGCCGACGCGGACGCCGACGCCGACGCCGGGGCGACTACAATAGCTCTCATATTCTTCGAATAGTCGAGCTAAAAAGGCAAAGCCTCAAACTTTCAAAGTGAGCTCGATTTTCTTTTACCGTAAGATAGTTTAAAATAATTGTTCATTTTTATTTTATATTTTCCGTTTTAAAATTGTCATTCGGTATTTTAAACACTGCTTCTGTTTCTTCTGGTTCCCCTTTTCTATTATGGTTCCTATAAAACTGCGCAGGACACCAATCTACGCTTACGTTTTCAATCAGAGTACATCAGCTTTTATCGTTATCTTGTAATTCGAAAAGTTGGGATGTGTCCAATTTGGTACTTCGCACGAAAGTTTTCAAAACCATCACTTAGCAGGTACTCGGGCCAGCTCGTCGAGCATGCTATAAACGGGTACGCTGAAGACTGGCGGCACGAAATACCAAAATATACCCAAATATACCCAAATATAATATTATTTATTTTTGTTTGTATAAAATATAGATTATAATGAGAAATAAATAAATATTTATAGAATAATATGACTTAACCTGCTAAAGCTTTAATTCATTCCGTTGAAATGGGCAGTTAAGATGTTGTAAGAAAATAAAGTTGTGACATTTGCTTATGTATTTATAATAAAGGATAAGGTTTTTTATGAATGTAGTCAATGTACTTTTAATTTTAAATCAAGATTATGATATTTGTTGTCTACACTTAGATTTTTAAGGTGTAATTTTGTTGAAATTCCATATCATATACAAGTGTCCAATGTCATTTAAAAAAAAAATAATAGCTTTAATGGAGAACATAATTATAGATCTAGTGTACTTTCATTCAAAACACAGTGATAGGAAAATGTATATTTGGGTATGTTTGATTGTATCTTAATGAAAGTCTAGCCCAACAAATTGTGCGCTTTTGGGCTTTTATTATATATCCGATGGTTGCCCTTGGGTGTATTTGGGTATTTCGTGCTGCCCCTGAAGACCTTAGCTTACTAAATTACAATGTGTGCACTATAACTTTAAATTGCTGATGACCAGCCTCAATCATGTCATAGGTTACAGAAGATCAAATTTGTTCATATGATTACAATTAAACTGAGAAAATAATCAAAATATTATCATAACGTTTTTGGTATGTAGCCTAACAAATTCCACGCAGTGATCTCCCCTTCATTCTAACTGTACTGAACAAGGGAAGTAACCATACGAAGAGTTTGATAGCCTTGTTTGAAATTCTTTAAAATCGATAGTACAAACAAGACAATACAGCAAAATAATATAAATTTATCTAATTCGCACATAAATATTAAAAAGTTAATAATAAAACAATACCATTATGTCGCTGTTACTTTGCAACATGCGCTTCTTCCTCTCTAATTCAGCTTTTAAGACGTCCATTTTCGACTGGGAAGAGAAGAGTTCTGTTTTCCTACTCCTCAATTATATGGAATACGAAATCTGATTGGTTACTTTGCATAGATTTAGCCAATTGCTGTCGTTGTATTAAAATATGTTCGGGTTGGGTTTTGGAAAAGAACCCGGATGAAAATAGTATTTTTAAGATAAGAAAAGTCCTCATGAAACCGGCATCGTTTGTTTATTTTCTTATCATCAGTCCCGGTTATGGTCTTATTTTATCTACGTATAATATATGGAACACTATGTTTAATTGGCAAATCAGGAAACTTAGAGTTCTTGAAATGGTGAGACAGATAAATGATATAAAATATATGTATATATATAAATGTGTATCATGGTACTGTATTTGTTGGTTCTAGGCTATTGTATAGATTCTTATTAAAATAGATTGTGTCATGCTTTCTGCACTATATTTATCATTTGGCTTCCAGCACAATTTTTATGGCTTTCGGCCATCTAGTCGTCAGAGAATGACAGACTATTCTCTCCCTTACCAGTTCCTGTCCCTGATGGTTCTCTCCCAAACTGTTTCCTCCCTGGACAGTTCTCTCCCAAATTTGAAATATGCAGACAGTTATCCCCTATAATTTTTGTTTTGACTTAATCAAATAATATTTCTTAATGAAGATTATTAAAAGAATATGTTTGAAATTAAGTGCATTTTTGTGTCGCCTCTACAGAGTAGTGGCGACATATAGGGATCACTTCTCCGTCTGTCCGTCCATCACAAAACTTGTCCAGACTACTCCTCATAAACTACTGGTGCAATTTCATCCAAACTTTACAGGAATGATCAGTACCAAGTCTAGTTGTGCATATTGTCAGCATTTTCCGGTTCAATGATTTGTGTCAGAGTTATGGCCCTTTAATAATTTTTGTTTTTAAAGTTTGTTCGGACTACTTCTCTTATACCACTAATGCAATTTCAATGAAACTTTACAGGATTGATCTGTAGCTCAAGTCCTTGAGCATATTGCACAGGTTTTCAGGTTGAATGATTTTAGGCCGAGTTATGGCCCTTTGATAAAAAGGTGTTCTTTTCTATGTGTTGCCAGATACACAAAAGCTTGTCCGGACTACTCCTCATAAACTACTGGTGCAATTTCATCCAAACTTTACAGGAATGATCAGTACCAAGTCTAGTTGTGCACTGTCTGTTTGTCTGTCTGTCTGTCAGTCCGTCTGTCACAAAACTTGTCCCAACATGAAATTGGCCATCATGAGGCGACACATGTGATCACTGATCACTCTTGTATGTTTATCTGAAAAGTGTTTGTAAATTTAACCAGGTACGTATATTGTTAATATACGTACCTGATTTAACACCTTTTTTTCAGGTTTTTTAACACTTTCATTGTGAGAGATTAAGATTATTGGACAGTGATTGATATACGCCTGTATTATGTAAAGGTGTAGGCCTATTCATTCATTTGTAAAATAGCGAATAAGGTGGGTAACAAGTTTTTCATACATGTGATATCCCGGCGGTATTTAAAAAATCCTGATATTTCAACACTGATCCCGATTCCCGATATTACAGCTTGAATTCCCAATATTTAAAAGAAAAAATCAACATAAAAAAAATCAAGCAAAGCACCTGTATCTAAAATGTAAACCGTGCCTCCGGGCTAAGGCTCCCACGTTTACACTTTTTTGTAAACGTTTACACGATTGTTAAGAACCGAAACGGTACCGTTTAAACGGTTGTACTTCTATGTACTATACTACACCATGAATTCAAGCCGCCAAATGATGACTTACTTTATATTTTTATAAATAATGTTCAGGGCTTAAATCACAATTGAGTCGGCACACATTTTCTGCATTGTATCTCAATTTCGCTCTTTTGAGCAACAAAGGTAAATCAACTTTACCAAAAATGTATTATTTCACGAGCGATTATTGCACGGTGATGCTGTCTAGAGGTTTGTAACAACCCATTTTCTGTTTTTTACTTCGGAATAAATCAATTAGAATTAATAGAATTCATGATAACAGGCAATGATTAATATTTTTTGTAAGACAATATGGTCATTTCGATTAAACGGTAAAACATTTTGTAAACGTTTACGAATGAAAATCGAAACGGATCCGTTTAAACGTGTAACCGTGGGGGCCTTACTCCGGGCATTGATTGTTATCTGTCCATATCGTAAATTATAGCGGATTTAATGTTGAGTTCCATTACCAAGTTATTGTCACATGTTTAACTTAACACTTGTCGTGTGTCAGTCAATTGACCTCTTTTATAATTTGGCTGTAGGTATTACACGCTACGTCATCAAATTTACATGATTGTTTGAATTCGGCTCAACCTTTGATTTTCTTTGATAAGTGCCGCACTGATAAGGATTAAAGGTGAGCAGAATCATTTAAAGTGGATCATTCAAAAATCTGTTTTAGATGCAGCAAAACCATGGCTAATTAACCTATGTTTAGTGAGTGGGTAATTTTTTGTTTTGTTTAGGAATTACACAATCATTGAGGCAAAAATGTGGATTTAATTAACGGAACGATTCTTGCATTTATTTTGAGTCTTCTACTTACATTACGTTATTTAACTGTCAGAGTCTTATGTTCATGAATAGTTGTTGCACATTGTCAAATAGCTTGTGTTTTAAATTATGAGCCAATTATTGTATGACTGAAAAGACAGATATAATTATTCAAACTGAAAATAATGAAATGTGAAAATGTGACACTTTTAGAAATAGCCTGTATGACTACACTTAGGCCATAGAAAATTAATCTTTAGACTCTCATCCAGGTTTCAAGAAATAATTGGGGCGGGTGGGTGGAATTTATAATTTATTTTATCCATCACTTTTAAGACCTGAAAAAACAGAAATGTATGAATAAACAAAAGTGTTTAAATCTATATTTTAATGAACGTCGCATCATTTCCACCCAGATTTTGATCAAAACTAAACCCAAACAGTTTTCTTGTTTATTGCATCATATATTTCACATGTGACGAACATTTTGACAATTTTACTGATCGAAAACGAACGTATTTAAAATCTTGATCACTAGACGCTGTAAACCTCAGTCTGATTTTTATGCGTTCGTCCCGCGAATATTCGACCATGATTTTCGGACAAATTTTCGTCCACAAACGTCTGCGAAATGAACAATTTTTTTTTATGAAAATAAATTATTTTGGAGCGGAAAGATTTTGATACGGGCGGGCGAGGATGCGAGTCTAAAAATTAATTTTCTGTGGCCTTATTTATTTATCTATTTATTAATTTTTTTGGTTGAAATAAATATTGATCAACAAAAAAATCATAAAAAGTATAATCATTTAATGATTTTGAGGGTAATATAGATTCTTTGAACCAAATGTTCCAAACACACATTGAAATTCAAGACAATGAAAAATCAGTTTTGAGCCTCAAAATCCAGCTGAAAATCCAGATTTGGCCCAATTCATTTGTCACATGTATGGTATTTCTAGAAAATAAATGCCTGGTATGCAATCACATTTCACATTTATTTTTATACAAAATTTATTAAAAAAAAACATGTACAGTAGTCTATAACACGAAACAAATATAATACCAAATAACTAATAAAAATACTGATTCAACAACACCTTTTTACAGATATTTTGATCTAATCACTACCTTGATTCTTAAGTAATGAATTAATAAAAACCTCAATAATCTAAAAGACTTATTATAAATTAAAAAAACAAAAACAAGCCTATTATTGCATGTCCCATGTGATATACCTACAGGCATTGAGATATAATGATAAGAAATAATGATAAATTGCATCATCAGTTAATCTCTCTGACATCCCTTTAATTATCAAAGAAGCGCTCACTTTCAGCATTGGATAAACTAACCATTTATATCTATCCAAACATGTTGCATACTTTCTTAACATATCTGTCAATTAGTGTCATCAACAGCAGACAGTCTTGAAACCACTGAAACCAAAGGATAGAGAAGTTATGACTTAAGGATAATAAGGGTATTGTTTTGGCATGTATATATAACTCCACATTAATTTAGTTTTTGGTGTATTCCTTAATTTTTTACTTTGGGCACAAGGAGTTGGAACAGAACAGAGAAGGATGATTGGGCAGCTTTTATTTGTTTCTTTACAAACTAAGAGTAGAAATGTACGAAACTTATGCTGATTTAGGTTACTTGCAGTAAATAAATTAATTCCAAAAACTGAGCAAAGAATTCTACAGTCAAAGCAAACATAAGAAGTGATTGAAATAAATCGGAAAACAGACTGTAATTAGCATATCAATCTACCGTATATTAAACTTGCAAAAAGTGAAACAGTGTGTCAAACTCCATTGCTGTTTTTTTTTTTCCAGCCTACTGCAATAGAATTCTTAGACTATCAAACATTTCAATGAAAATATTTGCTGATATTGGACACTATTCAAGGGTTAAAACTTTAAAGAATTTAAAATAAAAAAAATTAATTGTTGATTGATGTAAATAATACTAATAATGTTAACAAAAATAGACATTTGTTGTCTCATGTCTGATATACATTTGATTTAGGATGTAACTTATTCAGACATGAAATTATTGATTGGGAAAAATCTCATAAATGAAAGAAAAGAAAATGTTTTACATAAAATATTTTTCTTAACCTAAACTTCTTACACTGATATAAACACTGCTTATGTACAAGCAAATGTTAGCAAAATATGAAGAACAAGCTTGTTTACAAAGTCTAGTATTCTAGGCATAACTAAACATTCCACTTTCTTGTCAGTCTACTGACATACAACAGGACAGACAGACAGACAGACAGACAAAGGAAATTCTGCATGACTCCCACTACTCCTAAGTCGTAAGGCATAAAAATGACATTCATTTTTTCCAGACTGTTGACATCATGATTTGTCCCAATATTGAGCAGCAAGAATTCCTAATTCCCAGGTGCACAACAACACATGCTGACCAACATTCCTGTAAAGTCTCATGACTCCAGCTCAAGTACTATAGATCTTCACACAATTTCAGCTAACATTGAATGTACTAGTTCCTGCTTGATTTGGAGAGAAATAGTACTTAAAATGTTAAATTTGTAATAATCTGACTCTACATTTTGTACAAACTTAAATTCTAAAAACAGCACAGGAAAATAATAAAAAGAGATTATAAATAAATGTGATTTATATGACTGAAGACCAAAGGGAAATTACTTGCGGAATATTTAGTTTCATAGATGAGACATTGAAATATTAACTGAAAATTATCCTGAATCTACATGCACCCAGGATTTAAATGTAAATGTTAGCAGAACACAG